TCCTTCTTTTATTTTTGGCCCATTTGTTTACTATAACCTCCTTTCTTTTTTCTTATTTTTCCTCACTAATTTTCTCTCCATTTCAACTTTATTGCTCTCTCATAGATATATTAAAACTATAATCTCAACTTTTTGAAAAATAATCTCGTTACTTGTGATTAATTCTGTCTTCTTTTACACTTAGCTTCTTTTATTCCTTTTATGGTCAAATTTTCTGTTTTATGTATGTGTGTGTTTTGGTGTCTTTGAAATGAAGAATTATTAAATTTCTCTATTGTTATTTATTGTGTGGGAAAATATAGGTGACATGTGGAACAGCGGCAGCGTGACACGTGGCCCTACTTTTCCTCGAAAGGCGACAACCCTCAACGCTTGAAGCTTGCTTCCCCTCTATGCTGCAAAGAAGGCCTGACTTAGGGCATCGACCTGGCATACCGTCGACCAGTCATGCTGTTGATCTTATGGCAACAAAATTCCTATGTCTGGAAAGGGTCGACTGCTAAGAATGACATGCGGTCTACACAGCGCAGACGACGAAGGGAATACTCTTAAAAAAGGAGCCTGACATCACAAGTTGCGTCTAGGGATGAGAGATGTCTGCAGTACAGGCATTAATTGCAAACCCCTAAACCGCCTTACAGTGGACAGTGAAGGATTACAGGAATCTACAGAGCCGTAATGAAAGACTAATTGGCTGAGTGAACAGTTCAAAAGGTGATTAGTAGGCTACGGTCTGGGCCTAGAAAGGTAGGCCACTCGAGTACTTCTACTTACAATGGAAAACCGCCCACGAAGGAACCTTGAGTTATAAAAGGGGCAAAGCTCCATACACGAGAGGGGGGATTGGCTTCTTTAATATTCAATCAGAGGAAGAATAACAATACATGTAAATTGTAAGAGTCCAAAAAGAAATGCAAAATTACAGTGGATGTAGCTCTTGATTAACGGAGTTAACCACTATAAACTCTGTGTGTTCTTACATTGAAACACTTTATTTCGTGTCCTTTCTTTACCACCAAAGTGCACCACATACGCAGTAGCAATTATTTCATTTATACAAACAATTCTTGGCCGGTAACCTCACGGAATACCAGGAGGACCCGGCGTAACCTTGTTGACGAAATTTGACTGTCAACAATTGGCGACTCCACTGGGGAACAAACCCAGTATCTCTGGTTCATACGTTTGACCCCCAACAACAACATAGTCAGCAAACACGCCTCCAAGAAGAAGAATTGAGGCCATCAACAAAGGCATCCAGATGGATGAAACTGCCACACATCCGGCGAACGACGGGATGGAAGAATACCCACCTCTGGTTAGGAATGAAGTCCCACCCCTAGATGTGCTGCGACCGGACCCTGTGCAAATGCAGGCCCAGCTCACTACTCTGACCGACCTGGTGCGGGGGCTGATGACTGTCGTTGAGCGCTTGGATGGAAGAAAGTTGAGGTCGCCTCTAGAAGACGTCCCGAGACCACTAGGAGCTGCTGTAGCTGGAAACCATAACCCCGGTTACCGTCAAGATATCCCAGAAGGAATCGGGGGCAGTGAAAATCTTATAGGTGATCCCAGGCCTCGACCTTCCCAATCCTCCGGCAGTCGTCTAAGGGCCGCCGGACTCCGGACTCATGAGAACCGAATAGCCAGAGGCCTGGGAAACCCAAAAGCGCCACCTCAGAACCCAGGTGGAAACCTTCCAGGAGATACGGGGTCGGTGCAAGTGGGCGGACGGGCAAGGGGCAGACCCAACGCACAAAGGGCAGAAGCTTCGAGAGCAGCCGGCTCAGCAATCTCAACGGAGGAGGCACGAGCCATTATGGAGCGCATGGCCAGCCTAGAGCAAAAGCTCACGGGCGATGTCGCCGGCCTAAAGAAAAATATAGGGCGAGTGGCCGAGGTGGTGAACGTCGACATCACACCTAGCCGGACGCACGACCACCTGTTTACCGCAGAAGTTATGGCACCACCTCTCCCCGATAAATATAGGTCACCGTTGATCCCACCGTATGACGGCAGAGGGGATCCCGACGATCACCTAGAAATGTACACAGGGCATATGCTTTTACATGGATATGCCGAGGAGATCATGTGCTGAGCCTTCCGAAACCATCTAACGGACTCTGCCCGGATATGATTTCGAACGCTAAAACCAAACTCAATCTCAAGCTGGGATGAGATGAAGGAAGCATTTTCCTCCAGTTTATGGGAGTGAAAAAATATGTCCCTCCAAAGCAGATACCAGAAGCTAAACGAGTCATTAAAAGAGTGGCTTGCAAGGTATGGGGAAGCTGTCGCCGCGACGACGGACATAACTGACAGAGAGGCCTTGATGGGGCCGTTATCTTGCATGAAGAAGATTACTCCCTTCAAGAGAGAGCTGAACCGGAAGCCCCCGTCTAGTTACAAAGAATTCCTTGCACGAGCGCAAAGGTACATCAACGTTGAGGAAGCAGATGCGAACGACTCTGAGCAGAGGTCCAACAAAAACAAAGGGACTGAGCAAGGGTCGACTGCAGGAAAGCAGGATGGAAAGAAATGAAGAGGCGGAGGAAGCAGGGACAAGCAGCCTGCTTCCACGCCGAACGCTCCAGAAGCCAAGAAGCCTAGGCAAGAGGATAACCGCAAGCCTCGGCCATTTCAAAGGTACGATTCCTACCATGAATTAACAGTAGAAGTCGAGGAAGTGTTTAATCAGGTAGGTCGCGGAAACTTGCTGCGCCACCCAGAGCCAATTAGGTCAGATCTTAGCCGAAGGAACCAGAAAAAATATTGCAGGTTCCACGGCGATGTTGGCCACCACACCAATGATTGCGCCAATCTTAAAGATGAGATCGAAAGGGTAATTCGTGAGGGAAGAATGCAGGAGTTCAAGGCCGAGCAGAGACCAAGAAATGATGGCCACGGTGGCCAAAATGACGGTCGACACCGAGAGGAAAATTAGCGACCAGAGGACCGAGAACCCGTCGGCGTCATATGAACCGTCCTCGGGGGTCCGTATATTGGAGGATACTCGAGGAGATCTCAGAAAGACTACGCCCACGAAGCCAAAAGGGTTTACCAGGAAAGGTTCTTGAGTGTCTCCGCCACGAAAGCAACAAGGTTCGGCAGAACTGACGTGGCGTTTAATGAGGATGACACCAACGGGGTTTACTTCCCCCACAACGACGCCTTGTGGTAGAAGCTGTAATTGGAAATCACACTGTATGCCGAATCCTGGAGGACAATGGGAGCTCGGTAGACCTTCTATACTCTGACTACCTGGAAAAGATAGGGATCCCAAAGGAGCAATTAGAAAGAACCTCCAGGCCGTTGTATGGTTTCACTGGGGACTCTGTCATCCCTCAAGGGACAATCCGGCTACTTATAACCGCAGGGGAGAAACCTCGACAAGCCACTATAATGGCTAATTTTGTCGTAATAAAGGGAGGCTCCCAATACAATGTCATCATTGGGAGGCCGACCCTTCAAGCGCTGAGGGAACCTCCATCTACCACCAGAAGGTCAAATTCCCTACCCTAAATGGTGTAGGTGAAATAAAGAGCAACCAGTATGAGGCTAGGGTTGCGTATTCTGATGCCTTGTACTAATATGACCAGCCGGGGAGATAGGAGGCCAGAATGGTCTGTCAAGGCGCCATTGAGGACATAGACCTTAAGGTCCAAGAGGAGGTCACATGGTCTCAACCCGTCGAGCAATTGGTGGAGATCCAAGTCGACGAGGACGAGCCAACCAGAGTGCTAAAAATAGGTTCAGACTTAACCCCATCACTTAGGGTGGAAGTCAAGGGCTTCCTCAAGAATAACATGGATGTCTTCGCCTGGAATCATGCTGATATTATGCCATTATCTAAATATCGACCCTTCATATCCCTCTAAACGCCAGAAGCGCCGACCAATGAACCTAGAGAGGTATGAGGCATTGAAAGAAGAGGTCGATATCGATAAGTTAATCAACAATGGTTTCATTAGAGAGACCCATTACCCATGATGGGTCTTCCATTTTGGTGATCAAGCCTAACGAAAAATGGAGAACATTCATCGACTTCAATGATCTCAACAAAACCTGCCCAAAAGATGGTTTCCCGCTCCCTCGAATAGACCAAATGGTCGGCGTCACAGCGGGGTATGAAATGCTGAGTTTTATGGATGCCTACTCCGAATACAATCAGATCCTTATGCATCCGACCGACAAGGAGCACACATCCTTCATAACCGATAGGGACCTCTACTGCTACAAGGTAATGCATTTTGGCTTGAAAAATGCAGGGTCTACATACCAAAGGCTCGTGAATAAAATGTTTGCTTAACTACTTAGCAAATCAATGGAAGTTTACGTCGACGATATGCTTATAAAGAGTGCCAGGGCCACCCAACACGTCGACCATTTAGGGGAAATGTTTGGCGTGTTGAGAAGATACCACATGAAACAAAACCCCCTGAAGTGCGCCTTTAGAGTTGGATCAGGGAAATTCCTTGGTTTCATGGTCAATAACCAGGGGATAGAGGCTAATCCTGAAAAGATAAAAGCCTTGCAGGATTTGAGGTCTCCAACTAAACCAAAAGAGGTGTAAAGGTAAACAGGGTGTGTCGCAGGCCTTTCAAAAATTAAAAGAGCACCTGGGCAGGCCCCCGATCCTATCAAAACCCATCCCCGACGAGGAGCTGAGCCTATACCTCTCCGTGTCACAACACGCCGTGAGCTCTGTGCTAATAAGAGAGGAAGAAAGGGTCCAGCTGCCGGTATACTATGTAAGCAAAAAACTCCTCAACGCCGAGTTAAGATACACTAAAATGGAACAACTGGCCCTCGCCCTGATGGTAGCCTCAATGAAGCTACGGCATTACTTTCAATCCCACACAATACAGGTTCTTACAAACCACCCGTTAGGACAGGCGTTACTAAAGTCCGAAACTTCTGGTCGACTTCTCAAATGGTCGGTGGAGTTAAGCTAGTTCGACATTAAGTATGTACCGAGAATAGCAATCAAGAGGCAGGCGATGGCTAATTTCATGGCCGAATTCTCTCATAGACTGACTATCACCACACGCGAAGAAGTCGAAATGACGAAGTGGAAGCTTTACGTGGATGGAGCGTCGAGCGAAAATGGGTCAGGAGCCGGCGTCCTGTTGGTCAGCCCAGAAGGCCACAAGATTACTTCGGCAGTACAATTTAAATTCAATGCGTCGAATAATGAAGTAGAGTACGAGGCGTTGATTGCAGGGCTGCAATTGGCAAATCACTTAAAAATCAAGAGGCTCAGCATCTTCAGGGACTCTCAACTAGTCGTTGGACAAGTAAATGAGGAATACCAAGCGCGCGGCAAAAAAATGGGTACGTACTTGAGAAAGGTAAAGGAAGAACTCATCAAGTTCAAAAGCTATGAAATACTTCAAATACCACGAGCTGAGAACACCAACGCCGACGCCCTAGCGAAGCTAGCGTCTTCAAGGGATTCCGACATACTAGGGATCGTTCCTATCGAATAACTTGAGCGGCTGACCGTTGAGGAAAAAATTGAGGCCTTGACCATCCAGACAGACAAGAGTTGGATGACGCCACTTATCCAATATCTAACGGATGTAAAGCTGTCGAATGATAAAGACGAGGCCAGACGAATCAGGTATAAAGCCACCAGGTACCTATTGTATGACGGTTTTCTTTACCGACGAGGCTATTCAACGCCTTTGCAGCGGTGCCTAAAAGATAGCGAGGCCCAGGAGGTCCTCCGGGAAATCCATGAAGGAGTATGTGATAATCATACTGGGGGCAGTCTTTAGCTCTTAAGGTTTTGAGACAGGGGTACTATTGGCCTACGCTTAAAAAAGACGCATTCCAATACGCTCGACACTGCGATAAGTGCCAAAAATATGCCACAATTCCTAGAGCACCCCCAGAAAACCTAACCCCTATTCTCAGTCCCATGGCCCTTTGTCAAATGGGGGATCGACCTGATCGGGCCCTTGCACCTCGCACCAGGAGGCTTTAAGTTCGCCAACGTCGCAGTAGACTACTACACTAAATGGGCAGAGGCAAAGGCTCTAACTACGACCACGGAAGCAGCTTGCACCAACTTCATGTGGAACAACATCGTGTGCAGATTTGGGGTCTCACACTCAATAGTATCTAACAATGGGAAACAATTCGATAATGCATCAACACGCAGGTTCTGCAACAGCTTAGGCATTCGAAAGGAATTCTCGGCGCCAATACATCCACAGTCCAATGGTCAAATTGAGGTTGTCAACAAAATATTGAAGTATACCCTAAAGAAGAAGCTTGACAATTTAAAGTGGAGATGGGCCGAAGAACTTCCAAAGGTCCTGTGGGCATATAGAATGACAAGCCGAACCACCACGGGTGAAACACCCTTCTCCATGGTGTATGGCATCGAGGCGGTACTCCCCGTGGAAATTGAGACGCCAACTCTAAGAACTGTTGTCTACAACGACGATGGTAATGCAGAAGCCATGAATGGAGAACTCGACCTGTTAAAAGAAAAAAGGCTCGACTTCCAACTACGCCTCACCGCCTATCAGTAAAGGACATCACGGTATTACAACAAGAAAGTTAGACAAAGAAGGTTCGTCCCAGGAGACCTAGTATTGAAGAAGGTGACACAGAGTATGAAACCCAAAAATACTGGTCCTCTGGGCCCAACTTGGGAAGGACCCTACCGTATAAGGAAAGTGTTGCGTCCTGGCACCTACATTTTAGAAAGCCTCACCGACAAGCGAATTCAACACCCGTGGAATGCAGAACAGTTAAGGTTGTACTACCAATAGTGTATGTAATTCTTATGCATCTCAATTGTATTTTTGTCAATTTAAATAAATTGATGTGTTTGTAGAAATATTGTTCAAAAATAAGAAATGAATTTACCCATTAATAACATGTCTGCTTAAAAAACCAAAGTATATTAAACAGACATGGGGGCAGTAAGGGGTCTACGGATCACTAGAGAATGACGACCCCAAGGGGTAAAGTTAACGTCGTCTCCTCCAATGAGGAGAGGCGAACACTTAGCAAATTTTAAGGAATTTACTAGAAGACGACGACCCCAAGGGGTAAAGTTAATGTCGTCTCCTCCAAGGAGGAGAGGCAAACACTTAGCAAATTCTAAGGAATTTACTAAGACGACGACCCCAAAGCGTAAAGTTAACGTCGTCTCCTCCAAGGAGGAGAGGCGAACACTTAGCACATTTTAAGAAATTTACTAGAAGACAACAACCCCAAGGGGTAAAGTTAACGTCGTCTCCTCCAAGGAGGAGAGGCGAACACTTAGCAAATTCTAAGGAATTTACTAAGACGACGACCCCAAGGGGTAAAGTTAACGTCGTCTCCTCCAAGAAGGAGAGGCGAACACTTAGCAAATTTTAAGAAATTTACTAAGACGACGACCCCAAGGGGTAGAAATAAATTGCTCCTCTAAGGAGAGCGATGAACAATCATGAAATCTACTATCTTCAAAAACAAATAAAATAAAAGGAAATCCAATATTATATAAAATGTATATAATAACATATAGCAGTCTCTACAAAAAAAAAAAAAAAAAAGCCCTAAGCCTAGCCGCCAGCCACCGAGTCATCACCATCGCCAGACGGGGAAGAATTGTCGTCGTCAGCAGCAGGCGGAGGAACATAACGGAAGCTCAAATCCCACTCGGGATGCTCTTGTTTAATCAAATCGACAATTTATTGTCCAGCAGACTGAAAGTCCTTGGTGCGAATGCCAATGAGCTCCGGGGAAGCCTTGAACTCCTCAATAATCTCTGCGCGCTTGGCGTCGAACATTGCTGAGGCCTCGGCTTTGGCTTCCTTCTTCCCTTCAGCCCTTCCCTCGGCAAAGCACTTCTTCACGGCCTCAGTAGCTTCGGCCAATTTCTTCTCAGAGATCTCCGCCCGTTTTGTAAGCTCTTCGACCGCAGTCTTCAAACTGGCCAACTCATTTTGAAGGCTCGACAGCTTGCCCAGTTCGCCTTCCAAACTCACCAGCTTGGCCACGGCCACGTCCCTCTCCTCGACGGCAGACGAGCACTTATTCTTGGCTTCATCAAGAAGAGATGTAAGCTTGGCTTCCAGACTGTCCATCTCCTTACCACGTTCCTCAACCTTGACTAGATCAATGAGGTTGAGAATGGCAAGAACTAGGCCCTGAGAAATTGGAAGTCAGAAAATAAAGATGCGAATGACGAATCTAAAAATGAAAAAAGCACAGTTGAAGCTTACATGAATCTGGAAGGAAATCTACTTGCGTTGACGATCCACCAGAGAAGAATGAGCGGCGGAGATCTAGTGCGGCTTAAGAAATGATTCGTATAAGGCCTGGAAGACAAGGGAGAAACGGGGAGGAAGCTTCAGCATGGCCCCAATCTCAGCGTCAGAAATGTCCGGAACTTGGAAGTTGGAATCCATGATTTTCACCCCCGGAATAAGCACGCGTTCCCTAGGCGCCGAAGGAATATCAGCAACGTCGGGGATTGGAACCGCCGGCGTCCAAGTCTCGGTCACTGGCACCCTCTCTTTGTGTCCCCTTTTAGGCGCAGGAGCTTCCGCCCCTGACCTCGAAGAAACCTCCGTGGGTTTCCTTCTCTTCGGCGCCGGGGAATAGGTGTTAGCCTTCTCTTTTCCTTTAGATTAAGGCTACGGGCCGGACTGAGGCTGCTGGTTGCCTGGGAGCTGAATCCTTAAAGAAGTCATTTCTGTACAAATGACAAGTCAGAATGCAATCAACGTGCAGTTATGCAAGATAAGATTAAGAGAAGCGTCGAGCCCAGGAGTTTACCTTCGTCGTTTAGATGAAAGTATTCACGAATGGCAGGAAGATCAGTGGGGTCTGGAAGGTCAAGAATCAACCCTGCTCCTCTAAGGTTGGACTCAGTCAAGAGGGTGTTAATATGGCGATCATTCTCTGAGTACAAAAAAAGCCTTTTCAACCCTCGCCAATCTATTCCCAGCGAGCTTCGGCCAATCGTGGCTAACTGCAGGATAAAAGAACTATCAGCACTGTAAAAAAAAAAAGAAAAGAAGGAAAGGGAAAGAAATGAAATGTCAAATTATCACCCATATTCCTAAATGACGTTTGCACCTTCCTTCGGCGGGGCATGCGGTCATCAGGGTGAAAGTTAAAAGGCTCTCGTATCATGAAAAACATGGGTTTCCACCCATGTGATGATGAGGGAATACCTTGTATTAGCGTACCAAGCCTAGGCTTGGATCGCCCATGCCCACTCAAAAAATACCACCCCGCACATTTGGCGATGTGGCATAACCTATACATAAACATAAACTCACCCAGCGGTAGGTCCATATCAAGCCACTGGCTCCACAAAACCCAGGCTCTGGCAAAACAATACCAAAAATTCAGCGCCAATTGGGCAGGAGAGATACCATAAAAATGGCAGTAGTCCTTGACGAAAGGATGAACGGGTCAGGTCATCCCAGCCGTGACAGCCCGAGTATATACAGGGAGATACCCGATAGGAGGCATACTGGTCCTAAAATGTACATCCGGGAGGAGGTACTCAAACCATCTCCCGTCAATGCAACCTTCTTTGATAGCCCGGATGATGTCTTTATTTCGGACCCTCGACGCCACGACATCGGCCGTAAAAAATGGCTTGTCTGGGTCTCCGCTCGTGGCAACCAAGGGGGCCTCCACCAGTGAACCGGCAACCCCACATACGCTGCCTCCCGTAAAAGGAATCTTATTAACTTCTTCTTCAATTATACGGTCGACGCTGTAAAACTCGTCGCCAAAATCGTAGCTTGGTCCGGCCACATATTCTTCTACTTCCCTTAATATTGAGTCGCTGTCTGACGGGGAAGATGACCATGAAATCTCCGCCACAAAAGGGAAGTCTGGTCGTACAATGAACGGGTCCTCTCGACGGGTGGGTTTTGGGGCCATTGTTCTGGTGGTAAAAAAGACAAGAAGCTAAGTCAAAATCCTAAGTCGAAAGGAAAGAGTAAACGACGACCATTCTAAATGATGATTGCTCAATTACCACTAGCGCCTCACAACATAATGTCGACCATTCATATAAAAATGGTAACGGTGAATGTTCATAACAATCGAGGTTCATCAGAACCCGAGAGTCAGAGACTACAATCAGCCAGAAATCAGAAAAATTAGCATACGTGGGTCAAACAAAGCGCATGGTAAGTCTTTATCCTCTACATTTCACATATTAACATGCGTGTGGTTCAATAGGAAAGCCAGTTAAATCATCAAGCAATACAAACGAGCAATCGTTAAGCTTACCAGTGAGTCAGAATCTGGAAAAAATTTGGGAACCGAGATAGCTTTACGAGGCACCGAGAAGAGCAAGGGATGCAAGTCGGAATCTACAAGAAAGAATTCAGGCAAAGTAACGGCAGTTCAAGAAGCTTGGGAAAAAATGGCTTCAGTTCAAGGAGTATTTAAGGGAAATCAAGCCCTCGACCCCTGACCGTCAGATAAAGTTCATAAAATCCAACGGTAAGGGTAT